TAGTAGCGGCGTCTCTGTATCTTCGCTATTCAAAGTGTCCCTAACTGAACTAATGTACTCCTGTGCTTGAAGTTGATTCCTATGTCTATTTACATCTCTGTGTGAAGGTGATTCCAAAGTTACACATTTTGTATGCCTTTGTAAAGTGTGTAAGGATAATTCTTAGTTGTGTAGTTACTATCGTATCGACTACTGAGTTGAGATATATTTTCACTTAACTTAGATTGTTTGCTATTGTTTTAATTAAAGTAATGACTTTCTCCATGAACTGACATCAGTTAGAGAACCACTGGGAGTACTGGGCAGCTGTTTCTTCCTAGTTTGGGACTCTTCACCAGTACGTACCCACCTGCGTTCTTTCTTCAAGTTTGACCTCTGATGATACCAGTCAGAGGACCATTGAAAACCGCCAGGGAGCACTGGACAGCTGTTTCGTCCCAGTTTGGGACTCGTCGGCAGTAATCGCCCACTGGGTTTCGAACCCAGGACTTTCCGGTTACAAGTCAAGCTCACAGACTCGATTCATTGGCCGGCCCTTGAATTCTAACTCCTGAAAATTCGTAATTTTTACGTGACCAATGTTACTGGCGGTGAGTATATGTCTTCACTACCGACCGTCTAGATCCCACTGGTGACGATTTCTCGCTAGAACTACAGTCATTTTCTTGTAGCCAGCCACTAGCTAGTATCGGATTAGTTTTTAGGAGTTAGTTTGTAGGGGTCTCATTTGTTTTCTTTCTAATTGGCATCAATCCGTGGGCAAACTTGAGACAAATCGAATCCTAATAACTTTTTTATTTTATGAGTTTGTCAAGCATATGCCAATTTGACTTACGGTGTAAAAATCGAGCGGTTTATGAAGGAGACAATACATTCATGTCTTACCTGGGGTTGACACTTTTTACTAAACTACATGTAAATGTGACCCTATATATCATGTATCATACCTATCTATAAGATTTATGCGATATTAGCATGTATAGGGACTAGTGTGATGTGTCTAGTCCTGTCTTCGGTGCAGACTGAATTCTATCAGTCAAGCTTGCAATGTGGCCACCATGCTAAGTGGCTCGCCATTACGGTGCACTTTGAGATGTTGGTATTAGATGGTTGGAGGCAATCGGCAGGAAGCCTTGAGCTATTCGGCCTCAAATAGCCCAATGGTAACGTCTCTGACTGCAGCACTGGGTGACGCGGCTTCGAATCTCAGAAGGGACATGACTTCCTTCAAGTTTGCAGATACGCCTTGCTGACTGGTGAGTGCCAACTAGCACGAAACATAGGTCCAAGGCTTCCTGTGGCCGATTGCCTCTAACCATCTAATATCATTAGTATGTATGTTAGTGAAGCTTAAATGCAGTATATGAATTGAGAACTGGTTGACATTTCTGTTACATTCAGGTGGACTGTAAAGTGCTGATTTTTTTGAATGTATAGCTGTGAAACTTTATCAATTAAGACAGATAATCCTAGAAGGCGAAAAGGAATTCAGCTATCACCACGTTGCCTAGCATTATCATTTTGTAGAGGTGGATGTAAGTAGTTTTAGGCTATAAATGACTAAGGAAATTGATGAGTTTATGAACTTTGGTCAAGTGAAACACATGTCTGTAAGCATGTGACAAACAAATTAGCACTAACTACGAAGAAAAGGTCAGTATTCGGCATAAAATTTACGAAAAAAAGTGCTTACGTATCACTGGAAACGACTTTCACTTCATTGTCCACTGGTTATATTGTGCAGGTTTTTAAATATGCCAAATTATCAGTACTTCCTGTCTGTCTATCTGTTTTCGACATAGAACTTTGCACCGATATGCGGCAGTTCAAGTCGCCACACTCTCTCCTTGTAGCACACAAAGCAAGAGAAGAAAGTAAAACGAAATGCAAAATAGAGACAGTAAACAGAGGTGTCAGACATAGGAATAGTAATAACGAAGAACCATATAGTTTCATTGGGTATTATAAGTCACAATGAGCGGATGCATCTGAGCCAGCCATTGAGAACGATTTTGAGCCATATCACCAATTGTTTCCAGTCAGTGGTTTTTACCGTCCCGAGGACCCCAACCAGGAAGTCTACACCTTCCTATGTGGCTGGCTTAAACTAACTATTGTAAAATTTCAATGATTAATGGTGCGATGTTTTGGTTTGACCACCACTGGCTAGCTCTTTTCCAGCCTGACCATATATCAGCTAATATTGCCTATTGTCGAGGAAGGCGACGGTTAGGCATGCATGCATAACACATGTCCTAACCATCTCAATCGATGTAGTTTCACAGCCTCGTCGATTGATTTCGTCTCCTTACCTACAATTCGTCCATTACAGTCGAATCAATAATATATGACACTTTTTACTCTGTCCACTATAATCTGATTGTTTAATAAACATTTCCAGTTCCGTCATAAATCTTATCATCTCTTTATTTGAAATTTACCACAATGTTATTCATTGTCCAATAGATGATTGCTTATATCTTTCCTTTTATTTATTGATTTATTTTCAAACAGTATCATGTACGTGGTCATAAAGGCATTCATGGGAATGAAGAAGCCGACTCATTGGCTAACATTGGTGCTGGCAAACCATTACCCAAGAAATAATTTCTTTTTGTCTTTAAAAAAAATAAGTTGCATTTTGTACAGAAATACACAGAGTTTTATATTTGAATAAAAATTTGTTTTTTTCTTTGCATGTATGCAGGATGATTCTATTATTATTGTTGCCTGGTCGATTGTGAATTGACCCTGTGTGTGCTGCTATAAGATTGTGTATGAGTCATTATATTGGTGGGTGGTGAATTGTAGTTAGATTAATTAGAGATATATTGATGGGTTGTCAGTAGTTATGATGTCACACTAAGTTTACATCATAATCACTTCCAAAGTAGCATGTTTACAGCGAATGGGTACCTCATTATTTTGTCTCATGGTTGTTTATAATGCTGTTTTATCAATTCAGAAACATTCGTTATATTATGTTTATATGCTGGGAAGTTATTTGACAAAATAATGTCCTATTTCTGGCATTTCTGCTTAAATCAAACAGTTTCACTGTGATTACATTTCATTTCTGTGTATAATTTACTACATTCCCTATACTGCTGTGTATATTATTATTATTTCCTTTAATTCCTAGAGGAACATAGGGCTTCAGCCGCGCGTCTCCATTGCGTTCGGTTCTCTGCCAACATTTTCACCCCGCTCCAAGTCTGCCTACATGCTTTCATTTCCTCTTCACATGACCTCGTCCAAGTCACCCTTGCATTGACGACCAACTCGCCGCTTCCCTTTCGGGTTCCACTCAAGGGCTTGTCTAGTGATGTCACTCGCTTGATGGTTTCCTCAGAGTATGGCCAATCCAACTCCACTTCTTCCCGTTTATTTGTTTCACAATCGGTTCCTGCTGGGTTGGTTAGCTCCCAAAGATCCCTGTTGCTGATCTTTTCTGCCAGGACATCTGATCTTCAGTACTGAGCGAAGACAGCTGTTAATGAAGGTCCGTAGCTTGTTTGATGTGCTCTTTATGACGTGCCTAGTCTCTGATCCGTAAAGTAGCACTGACTTCACATTGGAGTTGGAAATCCGGATCTTATTTTTGATGGTGAGTGCTGTTGACCTCCACACAGACTTAAGAGTAATGAAAGCTTGTCTTGCTTTTCCGATTCTGGCTTTGATATCCTCGTCAGTTCTGTCCGCTTGTAGTTGAAACGATGCTTCCCAGGTAGGTGAAGGAGGTTGTTTCTTTCAGGTTCCTCCCATTTATGCAGGCTGATTGTTGTCTGTTGCTGTTGCTGATGGCCAGGAATCTTCATCACCTCTGTTTTCTCCACGTTCACCTGAATTATTTCCTATCTTTGATGCTTCTTCTGCCAACTTGCAGCTTTTTACTTGCATATCTTCCAGTTTGTTGGAAATCAGACAAATATCATTGGTGAAATCCAGGTCCTCCAAGTTTTCTGTGTGGGTTCATTTAATGCCAGTTCCCTCGTTGCTCGCAGGTAGCTGTCGCACTATCCAGTCTACCGGAATCAGGAAAATCATTAATGATATTAGGCAACCAGCTTGTCTTACTCTCGTCTCCATTTCGAAGGATTCTGTAAGTTTCCCGTTGTGGATTACTTGGCATGCAGCATTGTCGTACAACTGTTGGATGAGATGTATAATTGTCGGCGGCACCCCGTAGTAGCGAAGTAGTTTCCAAATCACCTTTTGGTCGACGCTGTTGAAGGCCTTTTCAAAGTCGATGAAGTTGAGATAGAGAGGTGACTGTCATTCCAAGCTTTAGTCAATGATGATCCGTAGTTTGGCGATTTGATGAATACATGACTTGTTTCTCCTGAATCCAGCTTGTTCCGCTCGAAGAATTGAGTAATTTTCATTCATATGGTTGGTATGTTGACAAAATTGAAATATTCTAGTCCTTTTCCTGATAGTAGTTTTCTGTTAATTTGGCGTTAGAAGAATGGTCGTCAGCCATGTGAGAGTTCGTTTGGCATTCGATTCCCGGCTGGTGTGCACTCCTAAACCTCCTCATCTAACTGCTGATAGTAAGCCAGCCCAGAAACGATGGGAAGTTGACTAATGAGGCTAGCAACTCTATCCGCATATAAAGAAACCCTATGGCTACTGAAACCTGGAAAGCTTGAAGTTCTGTGTTCCCCTCAGGATGCGTGGAATGGGGGGGGGGCAGCCGTTGGTCATATCAAGGCACTACTCACACAATTTTCTTGTTTCATTCATATACATGAGTAAAAGTTGGTTAGACATTTGAATAAAATCAATATAAGATAGAGTATTATTCAGAAATAGTTTTAATGTTGTCAATAAAATACCATAAGAAGAGAAATAAGGTGTTTTCATAGTAAAATACGTAACTTGTTAGAATGTTATAATGTATGTGAATTGAAATAGAATTTTCCTTCTTGTTGTTGTATTTTATTGATAACACTAATATTATTTCCTAATGTATTACTTTATTATTTTCATTCCCTTGAGTTCCGAGTGGAATATAGGGCTTCAACAATATATCTTCACTTTGTTCAGTTTTCTGCCGTCCTCTTCAACTGGCTAGCTCCACAATTGACCAAACTCTCTCCCCTCTCTTCGTCACACAACCTCCACCATATCACCCTCGTACTGACGACCCATTCGTCGCTTCCCATTTGGATTCCACTCAAGCGATGGGCTGGCGCGCGATGTCGTTCGATGGTCTCCTCAATGTACGCCCTATCCATCTCTATTTTCTCCTGCATATTTGTTGAGTGATTGGCTCTTGGTTGGTTTGTTCATCGCCATAGCTTCTTGTTGCTTATTCTTTCTGGCCATTTAATCCTCATTATGAAGCCAGCGAAGGCAGCTCTTAATAAAGTTTGCAATTTCCGAATATACTCTATCTTGCATTGATTTTATTCAAATATCTAATCCATTTTTACTCATGTGTATAAACGAAGCAAAAAAGTTGTACGAGTGCCTTGATATGATTATGAGCAGTAATCAGTTGTGCTCGAAAAGTGGTCAGAAGTAAATATTATCCTAAAACACTGTGTGATTTTATCAACATGAAATTTTTATCCATAATGGAATTATACTACTCTACCACGGTACCCAAGTTTTATCCTTATATCAATAATACATTCGAATTGGTTAATGGGATAATTGATTTTAGCCCGAAGGCATTGTCAAGTGTTATTTTCTATTAACTAGAAAAGTTTTAAAATCATCCGCCTGAAAAGAAAATTCTTCTCTTGGCCTCTGAAGACACTTTCGATATGTAGTCTACTGACATAAATATGTCACATAATGGTTAGTATTTGGATATACTTTGTCAAGGTTGAATTATCGGTCATATCTAAAAAACATTTTCCACTCCAGCCGCATACCTTTAGGTGTGAAGTATTTTCAGAAAAGGTTAGAATTGGTGTATTTGTCTATCATCTTGTTGATTCCTTATCTAAGTGTGGAATTTTTAAAGTTTCTGTTAATAACTACTGATAAGCCTTTATTATTATTGTTCCCTTGGGTTACGAGTAGAATATAGGGCTTCACCAACACATCTCTTCTGTGTTCTATTTTATGCTGTCCTTTTTAGCTGAGCCCACGATTGCTCATAGACTCTCATCTCCTCTATGTCACCCCCGGACGATCCACTCGTCATTCCCCATACGAGTTCCACTCGAAGGTTTGTCCCGCAGTGTCACCCAACGGTTTCCTCAGCATATACCCAATTCATTTTGCCTTTTTGGCCTGCATATTTATTGGGCAGTCGGTTTCTGATTGGTTCGCTGCCACAGTTTCCTGTTACTAGTTCTTTCCTGTCGGCCATTTGATCGTCATTGTGGAGTCTGCAATGGCCTGTTGGAAATGCTTTTGGTGATGCGCTGGTCAAGTTTCTGACCCATATAGAAGACCTTAACTTTATACAAGAGATGGGGGATTTCTTCTGGCCTTGGAGCTTTTAAGAATGGATTTTATTTTTACGGAGATAGACAATAAGGGGCACTAAACGTTGCTAATTCAACATTTTATTTAGATTTTATTGGTGAAGAGTGCTTTGACGGACTCTCTTTATTCGGATAACCATTTCTTGGAAAGGAGAAACTTTAAAACAACGGGGATTTATAGCTTAGATGGATATTTCTGATGCTCTTCTGTTCACTAAGCTAGCTGTATTTTAATGAGGGGAAAACATTTTCCTATTTGATATTTTTGTTTCAGCATTCTTTATACGTGAGGTATGGTGTACTGATGTATAATTTGTGTATCATTTTTAAAAGGTTGGATATCTGGCAGTATGACTAGTTGGTCTGTGCGTCGGTAGCGCGGTGGTAGAATTCTCGCCAGCCACGCATGAGGTCTGGGGTTCGAGCCTCGGCCCACACACTTCCCTAACTTGGTAAGCCAGTAATGAGACTGGTAAAGACGGAGGTTTGGGTATGAGGGACTAGCAACCCCACCCCGTAAAAAAATAAACACCATTGCTACCGAAAATTCAAGCGTCTAGCTTCGAGCCACCTTATGTTCCACTGGGAACGTAAAGGAATAAAAAAATGATCAGTTCGTCTAGTCTACAAAATTTGTACTAGTTCAATGACTTTCTTTCATAATCATACGGGGATGGTGAGTGCTTCAAAATACAAAGCCTAGTTTTTGCTTCACTCTAGCGTTTGTTCACTGAGAAAATGTCAATCTGTAGGTTTATTAAATGAAGATAACAATAGTTGCTGCCGCGTCATCCACGATTTGGACTTCCTTGAAGGTAAATTCAACTTATTGTTAACTTGATGGAATGAATGCTACAGACGTGTGTAGTATATTAAAGATGGTTATCTCAGCAAGAGTGCGTCGGTTGCACAGCGGTAGAATGCTCGTCAACCACGCAGGTAGTTCAGGGTTCGATCCCCGGCCGACGCACTCCTTTAGTTTGCTAAGCCAATAATAAGACTGGTTAGGAGGAAAGGTTGGGCATGAGGCTAGCAACCCCATCCCGCTGCTACCGAAACTTCAAAGCTCTAGCTTGAAGGTACCCTATGTTCCAGTGGGAACGTTAAGGAATAAAAGAAAATCTGAGCAAAAGTCATGTGCGAAAGTCGTTAAGGTTTTGAAGTGGGTAGAATGCTTGTCAGTATTTCTGTTTTTGGTTCGCCTAGTGTATAATGCACACTACATTATTACCTGTTTATTGCGAACTGTGTAGCTAGTGTTTTTAGTTGGTTTGTTTTGCTACTCTGCCTAAACTTCGTCACGTGGCGGTTAAAGTAATTCGAATAATATTTCTCCCTCTTTAATCTCTATTTTAGTTTTATAGACAATAGTGAAGATGTTGACAATAGAAACAAAGCCAACTAAACCGTTTCCTGGTCAAAAACCCGGTACTAGCGGTTTAAGAAAGCCGACAAAAACATTTATGCAGCCTGGATACACTGAAAATTTTATTCAGTCTATTTTAAACGCTGCTGTTGGCGATCATCTTAAGAAGTCACAACCAGTTCGGCTTTTATTGGGCGGGGATGGACGTTATTTTGTTCGTGAATCATTACAACGTATTATTATTCCAATATGCTTAGCTAATGGAGTATGTTTTTGATATGGAAAACTTATTGTTTTGATGTAATTTTTATTCATTCTAATTGGTTTTCGTGTCAATTGACAAATTATTCATTGGTTGGTTGGTTGGTGGTGCTGTTGATCACTCTCTCAGCCTTACTGTCAAGATGTGTGACTGGGTGCTTTTTGACACTGTATTCGAAGTTAATCAGCCTGTAGGAAGATCCAAGTTTATCTCCCGACCGATGGCTGCTACCTTGACGTGGTGGTCCGACTTGCACATCGCGATGACCCAACAAGCTACACTGGCTGGAACCAATGTTCCTGCAGGTTCCACCATGCCAGGAAGGTTGTTAGGATAGCGATTAGACTGAAAGCAGTTACCAGAATAGTGTAAGAATCTTTCTTACATTATGCTGGGGGTCTGTGAGTAAAGTCGTACTGCTGGGGAACAGGGTGTAACAGCATTGAGGTGTTTCCCTCAGATGACGAGCATGCCAGCCAGCTATGCTGTCTCTCCACTCTGGAGAGAGGGGGTTAGAAAAGGTCGACCCTAAAAATTGTACATCCCGACTTACCCCATTTACGGTGGTCCGTAACCGGCGGTAAGTTTACTGATACGTAACGAATCCCAGGAACCAGTTCACACAGACCGTGTGTGACCTGCTTCAAGCAGTTTTCCCCTGGGCTCTGCGATCAAGCAACACTAACCCTCTCTCTGTTTCAGGTACCCGAAGAATCAATCAACTTCCACAGTTTGGGGCTGCAGCCGGGAAGTAACAACCCCACACACACTTCCAAAAGCACACGAAGCCTTCCAAATTTAAGTTACCTGCTCCATTGTTCAAATTAACCGTACAAGAAATGTTTCGCTGAAGCATATCTATCTGCTGAAGTATTACAAATGTTTAGATGTGATGGAGAAGATTTGTAGCTTAGGTGGATGATTCTGATATGGTTGTGTTCTCTGAGCTGGATAGTTAATTTGTAAAGGTTTCATTGCCCTACTAGGCAACATCTTCAGCGCATACCTCAATTTGAAGTCGAATTGAAGTATGCGCTGAAGATGTTGCCTAGTAGTGCAATGAAAGTTTCGCAAATTAACCATCCAGCTCAGAGAATGATAATAATAATTTTCTTTATTCCAAAACAGTACTTGTGATACACAGTGGAATTCTCAGCATTTCACTGCAGTATTTCATCCAGTTAATATATTAACAATAAATAAAATTCTACATAGATTATGTGTAATCTCAGTTAGTTTTGACAACAACATATTAGCATGTAGGTAGCAAAGGCAAAATTGAACAGAATGTTTGAAGGTGTTAGAAAAGTAGGTTCTAGCGGCGTAAGCGGTAAAAAAAGTCGAGATATACAGAGTGTGAAAGAATGAAGAGGAATGTTTTAAGTAGAGTTTGTAAGGAAGAAAGAAACAAAGCAGCACATAACAACACAAAAAAGAGGGAGAAAAGGAAAAGAAAGAAAGAAAACGTTGTACCTATAAATGATATGAGTTGGAAAGACGAGATCCAATTGTTCTACTGACTATTTAATAAGTTATAGGTATCACGCCTAGTGCTTTCTTTATCGCACAGAACACGAGCTAAGTAGGGTATGGTTGTGTTTTCGTACTTTCTAGTGAGAGCGTGTAGTTTTCTATATAGGCTCATGGTCCTGCCTGATGAAATACAAGGGGAGAGTTGTGAATGAAGAGGGTGGGTGATGTGAGTTAGATGAAATGGATTTAGCCCATTTTTCACATGAGTCCAAGTACCTGTCGACCAGAATATTAACAAGCTTGTTATGTGACACGTTGCTTACCCTGCTGACAACCTTTAACATCCTACGTAATAAGATATTGTCCTTCTTCAGTAGTCCTGGAAAAACTAGAGAAACTAGGGAAACAATAGAGAATAATAGACAGGATGCCAGAGTTAACGAATCGTAAGAGTAAGAGAACACAACCAACGTCAAAATATTACAAGTTTAGTTGATATATGCTTGAGTAGTGAATTAGACAAAAACAAAAGTGGTAATTGTTTTAAATTCTCCTTGTAAGATGAATAGGTTTGCTTTCAACTTTCATCTAAACATTTTTGAAATAAAAAAATCACCAATATGTGCCTAATTTATTTGTGGCTGATTTTTTAATTTTTTCTATTGTATATCTGTAGGTATCCGAAGTACTAGTTGGTCAGAATGGGATTATATCGACTCCAGCAGCTTCATGTGTCATTCGTAAGCATGGTTTAACAGGTGGTATTCTCCTGACAGCTAGTCATAATCCTGGTGGACCAAATGCTGATTTTGGAATCAAGTACAATTGTGAGAATGGTGGTCCTGCTCCTGAAAAAGTTACAGATGCCATCTTTGCACAAAGTGAACAGCTTACTGCCTACAAAACTATTAAAGAAACTATAGATGTTCAGTTGAATTCTCTGAGTTCAAATAAGTACACTTTGTCGAGTGGTCAGAGTGTTACGGTGAGTCGTCATTTGAATATTAGTGTTTTAAAAAAATTATTTTTCTATAGTTTGGTTTGTAAGGGTTAGTTTTGTTTTTACTAGTTGATCGCGGATTGATATCAGCTAGAGAACCATTAAAAATCAGCAACAGGGAGTACTGGACAGATGTTTCATCCTAGTTTGGTAATCACCGGCAGTACGCACCCACCCCACCGACAGGGTTCGAACCCCAGGACCTTCTAGTTACAAGGCAAGCTAGCTCGTATTCCATCCCGATGTCACGTGTGAGGATGGATGTCCCACCTACGACAATGGTTGGGGTGGCGCTAAACCACGAATTGGTAGAAGTTAGAATTCATGAGCCATTGAATCGGGTCCCAGTGGTGGCTGAATGGTATGCGAGCTAACTCGCCTTGTAACCGGAAGGTCCTGTGTTCGAACCCCTGTGGTGGGTGCGTACTTCCGATGATTCCCAAACTAGGAGTGGGGAAACAGCTGTCCAGTACTCCCAGCTGGTTTCCAGTGGTTCTCTAGCTGATATCAATCTGTGATCAAATCGTAAAAATTTATTTTTGCTCTCTAAATATTCTTGATCATAAATTTGTGTGATATATTTAATCGTAAGACTGATGTCTATATTTCGAGGGCATTAAACTAACATCACTTGATGTGGATCGTCTGCATCTGTTTGGCAGTTGGATGTTGTCGTTAGTGTATTTTTAAATTCTTCCATATGACTGGTTTATTAATAAATATAATGATATGAAAATAAGTTTTCTCATCTTAAATGAAAGAGAAATTAAATGAGAGATTTCAGAAATACTCTTGTCCCTTCTCGAAGTAATTATAAGTTTAATTGAATTTTAGATTTTCCCGTCGATTGATTGAACCGAAGTGCTCGGTCTCAGGTGGACATGTCTGTTGGCTTCTTGTGCAGATGCTTCGACGATGTCTGGGCCGTTTTAATTAGTATTTAATTGCTGGATGGTGACTAACAGTGGAATCTTGGGTGAGCATTTCGTCCTATTTGGGACTGGTCATCTAGCTGGATATACCTGCATTTCTCAGTGAGTGATGATGTTCCCTCCGTCGGTTCAATAGATCGATGAGGAAATCTACAATTGAATTAAATAATTAATATTACCCGCTGCACAAGACGTGGCTCTCGTGGCCGAAGTGGTCTAGTGGATAACGCTTTGGCGTTTAAAACTATGGTCACTGGGTTCGAGCCTCGGTGGGAACATCATCACTCATTGAGAAATGCAGGTACATCCAGCTGACGAGTCCCGAATAGGGCGAAATGCGCATCCTGGTGGATTCCTTTGCTAGTCACCATCCACCAATTAAATACTAGTTATAAGTTGCTGGAATACTAACTGAAAATTCATCATCTCTTTTTTTTCTGTAATCAGGTAACAGTCATCAGCAGTGTTGCTGATTATGCGGATTACATGAGCACATTATTCGACTTTAGTGCTATCAAAGCTTTACTTACCGGTTCAAGTGGACAGCAACCGTTTAAATTGCTTGTCAGTGGTCTTAATGGAGGTAAGTCATTGTTATATTATCTATTGGTATTTTGTGTGATCCAGTGGTTGGTTGGTGAGCAGCTTTCACCACCTACTGTCCATAATTTCACAAACTATCTCGCCTTTTCACCTCTCTAATTAATTACACAATATATCACTTATAAGTTAATAAATGTTATGAGTAAAATAACTTCTTTAGGGAATAAATGCTATCCACTCTTTTCAGATCTTGTCATTTTTGCTTTATAAGTTTAAAAATATTTTTGGCATTGACAAAATGTCTATATGTTTGGTTACAGGATTTCATTACGGGCTGACATCGGTTAGAAAATCATTGGAAAACCAGCTGAGAGTACTGGACGGCTCTTCCGTCCCAGTTTAAAACTCTTCATCAGTACACAACCACCGCTAGGAGTCGAACCCAGGACCTTCTGGTGAGATCGTAGACCATTAAGCCACTGGGACACGATTCGCCCCTGCAAAATGTAAGATGCTGCTACAGGACTGGACGACGTCAACCCCTAACTTAGTGATAGGGAGTGAAGTGATAGAACATGTTGACCACTTCACCTACTTGGGAAGTTGTATTAGCACCAACGGACTGATTGGCGATGAAATCTCAGCACGGATCCGAAAAGCTCGAGCTGCTTTCGCTGACTTACACCATCTCTGGCGTAGGCGTGACATCCGGTTATCAACCAAGGGACGTGTGTACTGCTCATCAGTTCGCTCCGTCCTTCTCTATGGCTCTGAAACATGGCCAATACGCGTTGAAGACATGAAAAGGTTGACTCCTTTCGATCATAGATGTCTGCGATCTCTGTCTCACGTTAGGTGGTTTCACAAGATAAGTAATGTTGACGTTAGGCGTAGAGTGTTGGGCAAAGAGGGAAAATCAATCGACGAGGTTATAAAGTTACATAGACTAAGATGGCTAGGTCACGTGGTGCGCATGCCTAACCACCGCCTCCCCCGACGGGCATTGTTAGCTGATATAGGTTCAGGTTGGAAAAGAGCCAGTGGTGGCCAAACAAAAACATGGCATCAATCCATGAAATCCTTGACAGTTAAACTGAGTCAGGTAGGGAGATGCAGACTCCCGGGTTGGGGCCCTCGGGACTCTAGGAATCAATGGCTGGAGACAATAGGTGACATGGCTCAAAATCGTTGTCAATGGCGCAGATGTATTCAATCTCTGTAATCTTTCATATTCCTTTCTACCATTACCCATTCTGTTTCACTCCTATATTTGTCAAACTCTATTAATTCTCTCCACTCATCTTCTTGTCTACCTCTGTGTGCTATTTGGTACGTGGCAACTCGAACTGCTGCACTTCGGTGCCAAGTTCTATGTTGAATCCAGACAGACAATGGCAAGAGTCCATGAATCCTAACTTCTACCAAATCATGATATAGCGCAACTGCTAGCCAATGTCTTCAGCGAGTATTTGTCCTCACACCCGACATGTTGTACCGTACTGGTCACGATTTCCCACTAGGAACCCAGGTAACTACCTACCTGAATAGGGTCAGTCGCTAGTGAGCATTTCATGGATATTCAAGTTTTGGTTTGTAGGGATTTAATTGATTGGTTACAGGATTTTACCATCAGCTGGCATTGCTTATAGAACCACTGGAAGACCAGCTGGGAGTACTGGACAGCTGTTTAATCCTAGTTTGGGAATGTTCACAGTACTGACCCTCTGCGTGAGGACAAATACTTGCCGAAGACATTGGCTAGTGATCGCTCTATGTCATGAATTAGCAGAAGTTGGAATTCATGGACTCTGGCCATTGAATCGAGTCCCACTGGCTTAATAGTCTATGAGCTCGCTGGCCTTGTAACCAGAAGGTCCTGGGTTCGAACCCAAATACTTGAATGTCTATAGGTTTGTTGGTGGTCGAATGTATAACAAGTTGTTTCACTATTTTCTTGTATATTATCACCCGTCTAAGTATGTCAATTGACTTTGATTGTATATTAATTTGAAAGGCTGGTCTTAATTGTATACTATGTCTTACATCACAGCTGATTTTGGTTATGCGGTTTGATTTCGAATTAAATTAAGCTAATACAGGAAATTGAACTTATCGATGAGAACAGTTCGTAATGTAAACAAAACACGTAGTTCAGCAAAGAGGCTCTTTTTCGGTGAACTCATTTTCTTTAGCTGTACAATTGCATTCATGCACGATTTTTCATGAGAGAGAGAGAGAGAGAGTAGTAACAAAAGTGATGAGTTATCACAGGCATAGTCGTTAATATTAGTCAATGTACTAGAGGAGTTGACTAATTGCATTACAGTTATGTAATAAGATGAATAATTTAATGAATGGGCTTTTCTCAGGATGGACGTAGCAATGAAGGAATATGTAGAATTATGTAAGAGTCAGTATTATTTATTTTATTTATTTAAACGCATAAAAACTTGGTACAATATGGCATCAAGAAGAATGCGCCACACAATAATAATAAAACAACATAGGTCAAAAGAAAAAAAGTAAGAAGAGAAAAAAATGTATATGTAGAGAAGGGATAAAGAACTTCATCTGGAAGGAAAACAGTCATGCTTAACAAGTTCAAACAGTATTCGTTAACTATCATCGGAAAGGGAAGAAAGAAGGAAATCGCAACACGTGTAATAACACGCGATAAGTTTCATTGATTGTTTTTTGCTTTATTCAATTCATTGTGTGAGGGCTGAGATACTGCCCGGGCGCCCAGATCGAAGCAGGTGGTTTTATTAAGGGACCACCCCCTGAGCCTTTGACTTGGAGTCTAATCCGCAAGGCAGCGGAGCAGCGTCAGGAGCTGCATTCCCCTGGTTTCCGGTGACCCATATGGGTTCATACGCCATTTGATTCGATTGGATACTGGAGCCCATGTACCCCGTAGTAACTACTTTTAGTTTAACCGCTATCCAAACAACCTTCCTGACATGGTAGGACCTGCAGGGACAGGTCCCAGTCAGTTTAGCATGTTCGGTCATTACAGTATTCAAGCCCGACCACCACGACAAGGTAGCAGTTATCGGCCGGGCTAAGAGTCAGTTGGAATCAACAAAGTTGTTACCATCTCCCATCGCCTTCATCGACGGGCATTATTAGCTGACATAGGGTCAGGCTGGAAGGGAGACAGTGGTGGTCAAACCAAAAACATGGCTTCATCAGTCAATGAAGTAAATCCACAAGAGTTAGTTTAAGCCATGTAGGAAGATGTAGACTTCCTGGTTGGGTCTTTAGGGTGGTAAAAATCAATGGTTGGAAACAATTAGTGATATGGCTCAAAATCGTTCTCAATGGCTGGCTCAGGTGCATCGACTCCTTGTGACTATATGTTGTTCTTCGACATTACTATTCTTTTTGCCTCATATCTCTGTTTACTGTCTCTATTTTGCATTTCGTTTTACTTTCTTCTCTTGCTATGTGTGCTACATGAAGGGAGTGTGGCGACTTGAACTGCTGTACATCGGTGCAAAGTTCTGTGTGTTGAAACCAGTCAGTTAGTTACCATGATAGTATAAGTGATTGAATAAGTTTCGTTTGCTTGTTTATTTTAAATCCCGCATAACTCTTCTATTTCTCGAGAACTCTTGCATAATTCCATATTGTTCTCAGGTCCTACATGCATCTTGATCACAATTCACTCAGTAAATTGCCCATTAAATATAAAAGAAATCTTGTAAAATGTCTCGCGAGCATAGCAAGGAAGATATGTACGGATGACCTCTTACAAAAGGAATTTGAATATATTCACGATTCCTTGACGGAGATGGGCTATCCGAGTAGTTTCATAAAGAAACATATGAAACGATCAGAGAAAAAACCTGTGACTCTGACTACACGTAAGAAACCTCTGTTTATTAAGTTACAATTTAATGGTGACTTATCAAGTGAGATTCTATTCCAAAGACTTTCAAGGAGTATACGTAGAACATTTTACGCAGCACACCTATGTTTGTCATTCTCTAGCCGACGAAAGACTGGGACACAAACGAAGGATAAGCTTGGTAGTTTTGCCACATTTATGTGTATTTATCAATTCAACTGCACCTGCGGTGACAGTTATGTTGGCCGTACTACTAGACAGCTTAGCCAACGTGTTAGTAAACATCTCCCATCGTGGTTTGGTAAAGGACAGACAAAAACAATCCGTAGCTCAATTCTGTCACATTTAATTGATAGTGGTCATATAGTCGAGAAAACGAGAGCCTTCAAAGTAATTCATCGTATCCCACCGAATCTTTCTAATAGACTTCGTATTCGTCTACTGCACACAGCTGAGGCGATAGGCATTCGAACTATTAAACCTAAACCTACAGCCATTATCCCTCCCGTGGCCTAATAAGACATAACCAACTAAAGACTTCTACACCACCCCTTATTTATATTTCCAACCCTTTCTTATCATCCCTGAATTTTATCTTCATTATGAACGTGTTTCATTTCCTTCCCTTACAATCTAACATTACGTAATCGATTCATTTGTTTTTACTAGCCTTTATCGACTACTTCCACCTGAACAACTGTTTGTTTAATCATACTGTTTTTCATTATTCGTGTTATCACAGATTGCCTCATTTTTTCATCCTTATTATTGATAAGACCATTATTATTATTATTATTACAATTATTAATATCATCATTACTACTATTATGACTAATTGCACAATTTATATTCACCATCGTATTAACCTATAGACAAAACACCATGATTGGTTTATATTTGAATTTTATTTGTAAACTTATATATATTAGAGTTAAGCCTGATGAGATCTAATTGAAAACAATATTGTTCGCTTAAATGTATTGTTATGAATTTTACTATGGGAATATTTAATAAATTGTTCATCTCACAACGTAAGTGTAATACACTTATTCAACTTCTTTGATGCACTGACTAACATTAAACAACTATGATTGTGACAACTCATCACTTATGTTGATTACTCTCTCTCTCTTATGAAAAAAGAGATTGTGTAATAATAAATGGGTTTGTACAGGCAGCCGAAGAGGAAA